TAAGATTATTTTAATCCATAACAAAATTTACGAAGTAATGCATTTTATTTTAATTGCAAAAGGAATCGACATATTCTAAAGAATAATACCTAAAATATATAGATATCGTTCGTAAAGTAGTAATAGGTATGAAACCCGCTTTATTATGTGAACTCGGCTTTACTCTCAGAAACATCTAAAAGATTCTAGAAGGTTCCAGAAAGACGGTTGAGAACCGTTACATTCCAGAAGCATGATGCAAAGCATGATGCAACGCTGAAACACGTTGCAACATGCAAGGCCCGTTGCAAGCCGCGTAGCGGTGAGTCACCAAAGAAGCACCGCTATCGCTACCAAGAAGAAGATAAGATAAGTCGGAGCGCATAGCCAACAAAGGCATACCGCTATCGCTACCGAAATAGGATAAGGAAAGTCGGAGCGCCCGGCGATGAGTCATCAAAGAACGCCGCTATCGCTACTAAGAAGCCATCTCTCCGGGACTTAACCGTCGCAATCTCTACCAGGAACAGATTGTCTCCGGTACTTCCCCGGCATACCTCTTTGCCATTGGCTAAGCCGCATCGCCCGATGGGAGGAGCGAGCCACATTTTACGGTATATAAACCCTGCACCCGGCACGGAACGGCAGTGATTTCGTCGAGTGGTTCCAGTCAACAGTTCAATCCAGCACTCAACCAGCAATACTACGGGGTCCTGAAGACAACGAGACATAGCCGCCATTTTGGTGAGGCATAGCCGCCATTTTCGGACCGAGGTACCGAGGCTCCTCAGATCTTCAGACTCAGAGGGAAGAACACAGTAGCGAAGTGTACCATAGCAAGGCACATTAGACATTGTCTAACCTTGTGAGTATTTAAGCCAGTTCACATATCCCTAAATAGTAAAGCGCGACGGACACTCATTATATTTAATCATTATATTTAATTATCCAATATTAACTCAATCTTACATTACATTTCGAACTCTGAATTTTGAACGTAGACATAAGCCATATATTACTCTGCGTTTCCGATATTATATCAATCTACGATTTGCATCTGCACACATCTGCGTTACAATCGTCGATCTATTCAATATTTATCCATACTATTCAATACTATTTAATCAATTTCGCATACTTATTTGATTTATTATAATAAATATACTTATGTATTTTATTGTATTACTGCTTACTTATATATGTATGTAACCCTGTATCCTACCACATATAGCGAATTGAATGCCGCTAATTCCTCTGTACACATTAGAAACTATATCCTGTCAGAAGGTACATTCGCAAGTCATCTCTGAGGTGCACGTTTAGTAAAGTGAACGTCGCATTAGCCTATTAAGACAAGGACCAGAGAACCCGGCCTAGCCGGATGAACACCTATCTCTCTATCGCTTTTACGCTTTTATTACCTTGCATTTTCCAATAGTTGCGAATACTTTACACACCAACTGACAGTGATTTTGCATATTGATATTCGATTCATTCGACAAGTGTACACCCACCCGACCCTATTACAACCAATAGAAATATACTCTGTCATAAGGTACATTCGCAAGTCATCTCTGAGGTGCACGTTTAGTAAAGTGAACGTCGCATTAGCCTATTAAGACAAGGATCAGAGAACCCGGCCTAGCCGGATGAACACCTATCTCTCTATTCTTTTACGCTTTTATTACCTTGCATTTTCCAATAGTTGCGAATACTTTACCAAACCGAATGACAGAGGTCTTGATAATTACTAAGAATTATTACTTCAATATTTAAGACTTAAATCTTTGACGCTTGAAAGTACAAGTATTAATATTCTTGATATAGATATTAATACACGTACTAAGATTCCTTTCCTATTCCACATTATTACCAATTCTCTTTCAGTATCGTTTAATTACAATTATAATTGACACAACGCTTAATTAATTAACAGGTGAAGGGCATTTTCGTATAGATTAACCTTTCATCTCGTCTCTAATCTTTAACACGTAAATCACGACTTAAACGTGAGTCACACTCATTTACCTTTATTATTTAACTATCTCAGTTCTATAAAACATATTATTCATATAAATTTATTTAACCATTAGATGGTCTCTCCCTTCCGAAGGAAGAATCAAATTGATCGTGACGAGCAACGTCTCCCATAGACTACGCGAACGTAAACAAGAAGACCCTTGAATCTTAACATTCAAATTTATCCAACGCGAATAATCGTACGATCCCTTCTCCAGACGTTTACTCGCCAATTTAACAATATCCCCCCTTACATTGATTATTCTCATCCGCAATTTCCGGAGCCTTCACCGTTAGAATCAAACACGTTAATAACGAACCCTATCATCAATTCTTACCCGATCCTGAATATTATATCCCGGATCAAAACCAACCAATCACATCGCCAGAGTACGATCCCATTTTACATTTAACAACGAACAAACCTTTCACATTCTCAACGAGGACACCCTGTCTCACTCACGACGTCGATAACGTCATCCCTGAGGAAGCGCAAGATAACTTCACTTCTTTCATAACTTACCTCAACCAGCCTAACAATCCGGAACTGGAGCTCAGTCATATAGTAACTCAATTTCAAGCTCCCCACGAACCACGTCAGGACCAATAAACTTTATATCAATAGTAAAGGTTTTATAAATGATAAATGACATTATACTTGTAAAATATCTTATTTATCGACCCGACCCGTCGGTTTCCTTCTCTGTCCGATACTCGCAATCGAATCTCAAGCTCTCGGCTTCCCTGGGTATAGCCGGCCTAGCAGGTTGCCCCATAAACAAATAGAGAGCAGCTTCTTAAACGTCCACCGAGGTAGACGCGAGAGAAGACCGTCTTGTGCAAAAGGTAATATCGCTGCAGCAAGCTCGTTTTCGCGGGAAGAACGCAGCTGGCCTCATCTCAAACGGACTCCAACTGGCCGATCCTCGCTTCTTAGACGACGACCCAGCTGAGCTGCTACTGGGAGCCGAGGTCTATTCCTTGATCCTCGGAAGGCCTCCGCAAGGGTGACAAGGATGCCGATCGCTCAGCAAACCAGCCTGGGATGGATCCTCTCTGGCGGCTACGACGCAGCAGCAGTCACGGACATCGCCGCACCTTCCGGTGCACCGCCGATCATGACCTCGCTCGCCTTCGTTCGACGCTTCTGGGAGCAGGAGAGCGGACCGATAACTCGGGCTTCACTCACTCCCGACGAGACCAAGTGCGAGGAACTCTACGTGCGCACCGTCACGGGCGCACGCCCACCGGAGATACATGGTGAGGCTGCCCTTCTCATCGCCGCCGACGACTCTTCAGGATACTCGCCGCCCAGCGGAGCGCCTACTGAAGTCCATGGAGACCAAGGGCAGCCGAGATCTTCGTTTGGCGAACTCTATCACGGCTTCATGCAGGAATACGAGGACCTGCAACACATGAAGAAGGTAAATACCTCAACAACAACGGAGAATTTCAGATGCTACTTACCGCATCACGGGGTCCTGAAGGAATCGAGCACGACGACAAAGCTCCGAGTCGTGTTCACCGGCTCTCAGCGCACACGGCCGGTACTTCGCTCAACTCGCAGCTGCTCTGGGGCAAACCTTCTGCCAGCGCTCACCGACGTGTTGTTGCGATGGCGTTGGCACCGGTACGTCTTCGTCACCGACATCGAGAAGATGTACCGCCAAATCCTCGTACATCCTGAGGACTGCCGTCTCCAAACAATCTTGTGGCGCCACAACAAGACGGACGAGATCGGAGAGTACGAGCTGCAGACGGTGACCTACGGCATGGCGTGTGCACGTTCCTGGCCATCCGAACTCTGCAACAACTTTGTACGGACGAGGGAGCGCAGTTTCCTCAAGGTGCCCAGTACTTCGGCTTGATTGCTACGTCGACGACGTGGTCACCGGCGCGGACAACCTCGACGATGCCGTCAACCTCCAGACGGAGCTGCGCAACCTCTGCATGGCGGGCGGATTTCCACTGAGGAAGTGGGCCTCGAACCACCCAGAGGTCCTCACAGGAGTCCCACAGAGCATCGGCTGCAGCAAGGACCACATTCCTGGGAAGGAGAGAGCCATTCGACATTGGGCCTGCGATGGCGTCCTCAAGATGACCGGTTCGCCTTCGCAATACATCCTCGGCCAGTCAGCAAATTCACGAAGCGACGAGTCCTCTCCGAAACTGCACGCCTATTTGACCCGATGGCTGGCTCGCGCCTGTCGTCATTCGGGCGAAGATCTTAATCCAAAGCACCTGGCTTCAGCAACTTGATTGGGACGCGCCACTGCCGGCCAAGGATGCTCGACTTGGCAACCGCTGTTGGATCAGTTGCCGCTGCTCAGGCACATACGCGTGAATCGCTGGCTCAACATGGACAACGATCACTCGAGGTTGCAGCTCCACGGTTTTGCTGATGCTTCCGAGCGAGGATACGCCGCAGTAGTCTACCTCCGCACCACTGAAAGGGGAAAATCGTCAATTAATCTACTCATGGCGAAATCCAAGGTCGCACCCGTCAAGCAGGTTTCGTTGCCGCGACTTGAGTTGTGCGCTGCTAGCCTACTCACCACGCTCACGCTGCATGTCCGCGACATTCTCGGCTTGGCAACTACTCCAGTATATCTGTGGTCCGATTCCCAGGTCACGCTTCATTGGATCCAGGGACACGCCACTCGCTGGAAAACTTTCGTCGCCAACCGGTAGCTCATATCCAGACACAGCTCCCGGACGCTCGATGGAGACACGTAGCCGGGAAGAATAATCCTGCAGACTGCGCATCGAGAGGAATTACTCCTGGAAATTAATCAACCACGCATTATGGTGGACTGGACCTACCTGGTTGGCACTGGACGAGACAGCATGGCCCAGCTCAGAGGTCCACATCGCAGAGGATGACCTTCCTGAACAGCGCACCACCAGCCTGATGACCAAGGGCTCCGTCGTCGTCGAACCGGACATCCTCCTTCGGTTCTCTGCGCTTCATCGACTGCTACGCGTTAGGCTTGGTGTCGGCGATGGCTCAACGTGGCGAGCCGGGAGGTCACACCTGGTTGTCCACTACACCCCGACGAGCTGGACGCCGCCCTACTCCAGTGGCTTCGAGTAGTACAGGCGCTCCACTTCCCGGACGAGATAGCTGCTGCCGCCGCAGGACGCTCCGGCCACCACGCAGTTCACTGATCAAGCTGAATCCGTTCATCGACGACCACGGTGTACTGCGCGTTGGAGGACGCCTCAAACACGCACTGCTGCCCTACGACGAGAAGCACCCGGTGATCATACCGCCGGCCTCCTGGATGACGCGACTGCATTGAGTCCTGCCATCGTCGCTCTCTGCACGGCGGCGTCCAGATGACACTCGGTCTGCTTCGCCTTCGGTTCTGGGTACCACGCGGAAGGACCGTCGTCAAGCAGCAACTGCATCGGTGCGTCACTTGCACTCGCTGGCGCGCTGCCACGCCACAGCCTCCAATGGGCCACCTTCCTCGGGACCGAGTGACGCCAACTCGACCTTTCTTGAGCACTGGACTGGACTACGCGGGACCAATTTCCATCCGGACCAGCAAGGGACGCGACACCGCTCACAGAAAGGATACATCGCGGTCTTCGTCTGCTTTTGGTCGAAGGCCATCCATCTCGAGGTCGTCTCGGATTACAGCTCCGAGGCCTTCATCGCCGCCTTACGCCGCTTCGTCTCTCGCAGAGGACTGTGTACGGACGTCTACAGCGACTGCGGCACAACATTCGTTGGCGCCGATCGCACCCTGCGGGAGCTCTTCAAGGCGTCGACCTCCGAGGGCCTTCACATCGCCCGCGCCGCCAACACTCAAGGGATCCGCTGGCATTTTAATCCGCCAGCGGCCCCTCACTTTGGTGGTCTTTGGGAGGCTGCCGTGAAATCCACTAAATTTCACCTCCGCCGAGTAATCGGCGACACCACGCTCACTTTTGAGGAGCTTAACACACTCCTCACACAAATCGAGGCGTGTCTTAATTCTCGTCCGTTGCAGGCTCTGTCGGACGACCCAGACGACACTTCAGCACTCACTCCAGGGCACTTTATCATCGGCGCGCCTCTATTAGCTATACCTGAGCCGTCACGGATCGGACAATCATCATCCACGCTGTCACGCTGGCATCACCTGCACTGATGCGAGACCATTTTGGCAGCGGGGTCGGCTGAGTACGTGCACGGGCTCAACCCCCGCACTAAATGGGTCAAGGCCGAGGCCGCACCTCACGTCGGAGACCTTTGCATCATCCGCTCGGAGCTCACCCCTCCTACTCGATGGCCTCTTGCAAGGATCACGAGACTGCATCCCGGGGACGACGGTGTCGTCCGCGTGTCTCAGTACGCACCGCCACATCCGAATTCGTACGCCCGATCGTTAAATTGGTCATGCTCCCGGGCGCGGATCGTATTCCGGACACGAATAACGCGACACGCCGTCCGCCGGCACGTAACACATCACTCATCAACGTTCGACACTCACTCACGAGATTTATCACATCATACACTGTATCATTTGTCACACCTCATTCTCATCATGCACCACCTCACTTGCAGGTTCCATAATCACCACTCTGCACTACACGTTCGTCATTTCACATCAACCACACACTCGTTACTGTCTCAGCTGATCATCACATTCCACGCTATCACCACTGTTCCGCGGCTCAGCTGATTCAAATTACACGCGATCATCACGTGAATCTCGCCGCGCCGGCGCGCCTGCCCACCATCGATCACTATCGACTTGCGATTTCCGCGACCGAAATAACATAAACATGTTGTCACTGCGCGACAAGGCGGGCGGAATGTTTGAAACGCATAATAGAAAACTACATGTTTAATAAAATATTATATCTTAATTAGAATATTCTAGAATATTCGCTTCCGATCGCAAGTCAACAGGCATAATCGTTTTTATATGTTTTTTTTTTTGGAAAACATATCGCGACATAAATTATCCTGTCGTACAAAACACGCTCGAAATATAAACAATTAACGGTGTCGCAACCGTTCCGCCGAATAATTATATTTTCTTGAGCATGCGCGGCTTCTCACGGGCGCCTCGTTTCGCCAATAATCATCGTGATTGCCAGCTCGCGCATGCTTTCTAACAGCCGTCGTTCTGTCAAATTTGACAGCGGCCAATTACGCGTAATACGCTCAGGTCACCTCGCGCAACTTTAAAAGACAAAATTATTGGCGCGTCACACGAAGGTGGGCTCCGCTCCGGAAATTATAAATGAGGAGCTCTCACCCCGCTTGCTTGCCTTTATCGCTTTTCCGTCGTGAAAACATATCGCAAACCGCTTATCAGATACCCGCAAAAAATTCGTTGACGACCGCCGCTATTCCGCACTTTGATTTTGATTCCGATTTCACTGTAAATAATTAAAGTTTTGTAATAAGTTTGTTTTAGTATTTTTTGTCAATACGTGTGTGATATTATTAAATTCATTGTTTTACAAAAAAGTGACTCATCCTTTCGTGCAGCGCGATCCATTCTCTCGCAGCGCATATCGTAAAACTGATTACAATTTGATTCTAGAAAATAAGTGCGATATGTTATTCTTAGTGCACAAAATATAATAGTCGTTTATAGAGATTTGATTTGAAATTCATACTAGCCCGTACAATGAAAAATAATTGCTCGTAATTCCAGAGTACCAATTTGTTAATGACTCAGAAAAATAACATGGCGGCCTGCTCTCAAAAAACTATAATGTTTTTCGATGTCCATTTAGAAATAATGTCGAAGCTCTTACAGAATAATTACTACAACATTAGAAGTACGAAAAGTAATTACATTAGAAGAAGATTAGATTAGAATAAGGATTCAACGTATTTTTAAAAGCTTTACACACAACAAAGTGAATATACAAATACCTTTTTCTTCTGTGTTTCTGAAGAAAATTGTAAGTCAAATGAAACCTTGCTATTCAAAACCTATTCTTCATGATCGCAAGACACTATTTTCTATTTAAAAGACGTCTGCTAAAATTTTAATAAATAGATATTATTTATGATAGAAATGAAAAATTTGTGCTTTACAGTATATGGATAGTACATGGTTATTTCAAACACTGAACCGATGCATACAACAAAACTTTTCTCTGTCTATTCAATAAATTACTGATAATGTTAAATTCCAATCACATATGCCACCTTGCCTAGGTTAATGATGGTCATTAACGGGAAATTTTACTAAAGTAAGATTGGAGATTTTTAATTTATACAATTTTCACAACTCTTATTTCAATTATTTATTCTATCCATCGAAAGTTTTTTGAGAGCAGGCCGCCATGTTATTTTTCTGAGTCATTAACAAATTGGTACTCTGGAATTACGAGCAATTATTTTTCATTGTACGGACTAGTATGAATTTCAAATCAAATCTCTAAAAACGACTATTATATTTTGTGCACTAAGAATAACATATCGCACTTATTTTCTAGAATCAAATTGTAATCAGTTTTACTTATATGTATGTATGTTCAATGTGAACTTGCACCTTGAATAAAATATCACAGTTACTTTTCATGGTAATATATTATTACTAAATTTAGATAATATACACTTTACGTATTCTTATCACATAACTTTGTATAAGTAACAATTTATGCAATACAGTTCATAAAAATTGAAATATATGGTATATATGTACATATATAATATATATAATTATATTATAGTATACATATATAATTTATTTAATCATATATGTAAATGTTTGTATAATTGTAATAACTTTTAACGATACATTGCACATTTATTTCAATTGCAACAGAATGAATTTATATTCTTGTATGAATATTGAAAATAAAGAATGGGCCCCTCCATCGCCCATTCTCGTGAGAACGCAACCATATATTTTTCTTGTCTCTCCGATTTTAACACGACATACATATTTCTGTCTGATAATTTTTTTCTGGATGATACTTTTTGAAATGTCATGAAGCCTAGGTCAAATTTGAAACTTATTGCACTCGTTTTAACGCAGCGCTTACAGCAGCTTTTATAAAGCGCCAGAGCAGTCGATATTTTATTTTGGCGCTTACGGCAACTTTTATACAGCGCTAGAACAGTTGATGTTTTAATGTAGCGTTTACGGCAGCCTTTATACAGCGCCAGAGCAGCCGATGTTTCATTTCGGCGCTTACGGCAGCCTTTATACAGCGCCATTATTTAATCTGTTCTAAGAACAATATGTATGCCCCTTGTGCTCCTTTGGGCCATTTTTTCTTGAACACTTCCATATCATTAGAGTAATACCATTCCGATTTTGTGTCAGCTCTCAACATACACGTGTAGTGACCACGATTCATTTCTTCACCTTCGTGAAATATAGCGCTTATTACCTTGTACTTTTTCATTAATCGTGATATTACTCGTCGGCACGGCGTTAATCCGATTGTTGATAATTTTTTTAGAAGCACCGTTTACAAAAGTATATAAATTGAGCTGTATTACTACGACGGATAAAGTTGATTCGATTACGGTTTTCTTTTTCAACACGGTACCCTTACATTCGTTACAATTGCCGTTTATCGTTTCCCATTTAGAAAATTCTACATTAATCAAACTTTGTAGAGTGACACCTTTTTTCCTTTTTAATGTCGAATGTATAGGTAATATTAGCAAACTACTGCTTTCCAGCTTAGTTACATTGTAATTACATTTGACATTCGAGCAACATGTTACGTGCTTTAATTCGAGTTCTAATACATCATTGATGTCGGAATACGTCGACATTAGAGCCGTAAAAAATTCCGAAACATCTTGTTGTGTTCGTTCTTCGAAGCGTTTTCCGACAGATCTTCTAACCGCTTGAATGTTGCAATATTTACGTTCACCATACGCGCAGATAGCATCAGTCAATGCATTCGATGCTTTATTTTTCAGTATTTGTTGCCTAATACGTACGCAATGAAACGCACATTGTAATATTACATTAGCGTAACACGAAACAGCATCGTTATTGCAAAGGCCATATATTTTCCACGTAACTATACTTTCTGATTCCTCACAATCATAATTCTGCATATCATCAATGATATTAGGGATAGCCCATCGACGATCGTACATTTTCACAACCTTTTTCTCGGACGGATTGATTTGTGGCAGTTCAGATTTGAATATAGATCTCAGTCGATTTATTCTACAATGGCTCTCGAGTTTGCTTTAACTGATGCTGGATTGAAATTTATCAAATGTAGGCCTTCCAATTTACTTACTCGTGACAAACCTACATAGGCTTGACCATCACTGAATACAGTCGTTCCTAAATCCATCATTGCATTGTTACATGTAATTCCTTGACTTTTGTGTATAGTTATTCCATAACTGAGAGACAATGGAAATTGTTTCCGATGTACCACTAATTTGTGGAATACTTCAAATTTAATATCTACTTTCGTTATTGCGATTTCTTTGTTATCCGAAATAACTATTTTAATGGAATCAATACAATTGCCGTCAGCAGAGCGATTAACTGCAACTACATTGCCTATCGTTCCATTGACATGTCCCAAAGTTACGTCAATGTTTCGTCGAATCATCACTTTAGCGCCAATTTTAATCGCTATTACTCTTTCAATGCCAGCTGTATCAGACACTTTATCATCTTTGTCTTCCAAAATTTTATGCACCTTTTTTTTCATTGCTGGAGCACAGTCGACATCATCTTCTGCTATCAGTAGAATTTCATCGCTGTCGATTTTATCGAGCATTGCTGTGTTCAAAACCTTGCACAAATAACACGTGGGCAATAAACAAATTGTATCAATCGGTAATTGATTCATATAAGTGCAAAGTTCATTCAATCTTTCGTCGCAAATACTTTCTTGTAAATTGATTTTTCTAGACTGAAGAACATTGATGTCAGAATCCGTTACTAAACCTCTCTATTCGTATCCTAGAAAGTATATCACGATATGTATTGTCGCATCTTTGTCGCATATTAATCAAAAGTTCGTCGTACTCGAACAATCTCCACAAATCACATCCACCCATGGTACCTAAATACTTCTGAATCTCTGATCGAGACATTTTAACAAACGAAAATTGTCCTTTTACAGGAGGAAGCTGCAACAAGTCCCTAAACAGGAGAATGTGTTTTCTGCCAAAGAAACCATCATCTGT